CGCACGTGTAACGTCGAACAGATTGACATGAACACATGTGGACTGAGTAACGCCTTCTTTAACAAGAAACATGGGAATTGGGACTAATTTGTATGGAAAAAAGCTAATTTGAAAGAAATAGCCCACGTTCGATATATTAAACTTTTAACATGACTCCGAGGCTTTGGGGTCAAAATTGGAATTTTTTAGGACTCCATTGTCTCGCAATTCCCAGAAGAGACTTGAGCACAAAGAAAACCAAACTAATTATAGAAAAATGACCAGAAAGCCTCGGAGTCATGTTAGAATTTTAAAATATCGAACGTGGGATATTGGTAACTTTTCGTTGTTGTTGTTTTAGTCTTCCTAAGACGTTACAACAGGCGCTTTTGTAGTACATGAATAACACGCAACAAGCGCTCCCTGATCGTCGGTGGACGCGTTATTTCACGTAGCCTGCGAAAGCATCCGTTTCTCCTCGCTGTTCGCCGCTAGGGACGTTTCGCGCGGAGGAACGTCTGCGACTCAGCGACAGAAATTCCATACTGATGACGCAAATCAATGTTTACATAATAAATCCGTTAGTCATGGGGTTCCAAATATAAATCTGTCTAATTTTACGTGTCTTCTGGTCGATTTTGTTAAAGTGTTGTGCTTATCTGCTAACGAGCTCCCGCAAAACTCAAATGCTTCTTCTAGAGAAGACTATATTCCACAAATATTGACTGTTTTGTTAGAGATTCTTCGCGTTTACATTTGACCTTTGTGGCCCTCAGTCTTTTGTCTGTCATTTGTAAACAATAGCTAAAACAATGTAACGACTCCGTCGACCAATCAGCGCTTCTGACCGGATTCCGGGCAGATTTTACGTCAACAGTATGGAATTTCTGTCGCTGGGTCGCAGACGTTCCTCCGCGCGAAACGTCCCCAGCGGCGAAGAGCGAGGAGAAACGTATGTTTTCGCAGGCTATATTTCACGCACCCGCTGACCGTCGTTGTGACAGGCGAATCCTTGCAAAGCAGAGAGCGATCTGGGTATGAGATGTATTGTGTGTAGAAGTGTATATATTAAAACTTTAGCGCCGGCTTTTTGAACAAAAATTTCATTAGACAGGTTAAATTAACGACGATATCAGTTGCAAAATATGACACATAAACTGGTCCTTCAATAAGCTTGCCTGAGTATCTGGTCTTTCTAAGGAGCTAGCCATCTTCCTTATCCCTTCCCGTCAGAAATTCCTGATACTCAGGCTGTCAATTAGCCTGAAATTCATCCGATTGCTTCGAGTCGTTTTCTCCTCTCAACAACGTCTGAATCGACCAGGCGTTAATGTCGTCCAGTGACGTCACTCACTACCCGAAAACCGGGTAGTGATTTTGATTGGTTGATTGTCTTAACATTCGCATAATTATGTATAATTATGAAAAATTTTAGCGGGATTGTCGCTTGATATTCAGCGAATTGCATCCCTGGCATTCTTTCGTTTAGTTCAAACATTTCGATAAGCTTAATCTTTATCTTAAACAGCAAAATTGCCCATGTCTTCGAAACTGAAATGCTAAATTGAACTGTGAATGAAGAATCATTGCGGAGAGTCGGTAGGTTTTTCATTTAGAGCCGCTTTGTGGTTTCAGCGGCCGGTGATTTTGTTTACGCGAAGTTTTCTGAGATCAATGTTATGATTAGACCTTCTTGCTATTTTACCGTCAAGTGTAATGATTCTGTTAGCTTTTCTTTCTTGTCTCCTTGTGTTTTTTTTTCTTCGTTAAGGACCAAATAGCTTCTTTTCAATTAAAGCAAATCATTGCGTTTTTGAACTAAGTGTTCCGTGTGTGTGTTTATTTCATTGCGTGATTGCGACAGAGTTTGATTATAGAATTTAGTACAACCGGTTCAGAGTTGTACTGCATGCAGTTGATAGTTTGAACGTTAAACATGAATTACGATCGAAAAAAATAGAGCAGTTCTGTATCATGCAGACATTTCCAAACGACATTTCTCGGTTTGCCACTTGAAAATCGTGTTTTACTTTTTGCATGAATTAAAGCAAAGGTCAAGGAGTGGTGACGTCACTGGACGGCATTAATGGCCGGTCGATTCAGACGTTATCGAGGGAGTAATAACGACTCGAAGTAATCGGATGAAATTCGGGCTATCTGTCAATAGGCCTTTTCCTAGTTGCAAAAACTCTCGCTTTCGAAACGAGGCCAAGCGTAGAAACCGTTCTAATGAGGTTTTTTTAATATGACAATATAGAAGCTAATTTCCAACAGTTACTAACAGCAAAAGAGAAAACACAACACCTTCGTGTAGAAAAAATACGTATAAAAGCATCAGTCTCGTAAATACGGAATACAAAGTTTATTTTCTGCTAAAAAACAGAAGCATGATTTATTTCAAGTGATGCTTTAATAGTTAAACTAAGAAACAAAAGGTTCGGAGGATTTCAACAGGATTTGCAACCGGCACTATGATCGTTAACAACATCTATGAGAAACTCGTGAGCGCAATGCCATACATCTAGGCTGATATCTGTTAGCGAAATCGTGGCAGAATTATGCTGCTTTTCTTTTTTCAAAATCATTCCCACCCATCAATGAACCTGTAATCAGATAGGACAATTGTCATTCTAAAGAACATAGTTGTATGACCGAGCTCGGCAAGAGTCTTTCATACCTCAATGGTAGTAAGCTAGGGTATCCAACCGGTGGAAGTCTTCTATAAAATTTGAAGAGTGTCTTAATTTAGTAAACGTTTTGTAACAAATTTTTGTACAGTTATGAAATAAAGCTTTGGATTATACCCCTAACCCTATTCACTAAGTAGCCTAGTCTTTTCTTAGAACAAAGTTACGTTGAAAACAAAGCAGCTAGCCTACCCTATTTATACATAAGTCTAGTCAGAGGCGTACAATTCTAATGGAAATGAGTCATTGAATTACACAAAGACGCTATGATAGGAAGGCTCAATCTAAAATAACCCGAGTGTCTACCTGGAAAGGGTTAAGAATTTGCCGACATTGTAAAGATCGCAAGTACGTTTCATAAACCAGTTTCATACTGCTGTAAAAGATCTAACTCAAAATAAAGCGCTACTCCTAAATTTTAGTAGGCTCCCATCCATTTAATGCTGTCAGTTATCAGCAGCAAGCCCTTAATCACACCGCCTGCTCGCATACAAAAACAGTAGAACAGAATTTCATACATCGCCAGAGTTGTCTGTCCTATCAGTTATTAATGGGGGTCTTCTAGATGAGCCCAGAAAGGCGTCGACGAATTCCTGCTCAATACTGTCACTAATAAAACTGATGAATAATATATTGTGTTAGTGAATGATCTTGGGCAAATAGACAACATCTCAAGTATCGCATTGACTTGCAAAGCACTATTTAGCAGAACACTTGCGTTCATTACCTAACCTTAGATATCTATTTGTAGTTATTTGAGCACGTTTGTCCTGATCACTAAATTTACAAAGTTTATCAAACCATAGTGGTTGTCGTGTTCATGTTAGTGATTGTGCCGTTTTGCGGCGAGGGTGAAGCGCAGGATTGACGAGTAGCACTAGGAGTCAAGGAGAACGGAAGGGTCCCAGACCAATATAGAAGACGACGGTTCAGAAGGTCTATACAACCTTGATGCCTTCACTATGAGGACGACTTGCTTCCTGATTACGGTTACTGATACTGGTTACCCCTTCTCTTTGTGCTCTGCGCTCAACTCATGCTTCACCCTCGCCTGTAACGTATCAAAATGGGGCCTGCCATAAATAAAGAATACGATTTTGCCCTGTCCACTTTGTGGAATCACATAAGACTACTTCACTGAGATCCTAGGTATATTCATTTATTTATAGCCGTGATAGCAGTTGTAAAATTCAAGTATTTTCTAAACATTTTTAACAACTTAAAAACGTTTCCTTTATAAGCTCTTTGTTTCCGATGCTTCTTCGTCATC